ATCACCAGCTTGTAGACTTCTTTTGTTGGATACCTTTGGACAGAAAGTTAGATGTTGAATACATTTTCCTGGGTTATCTCTTTATTGCTGCTCTGAAAAGTGATTTGCGAAAATCAGTGCTCTGTGCCTCCAACCTTCCGTGACTCAAATAGCTCCACAGTGTGTGAATTGCTTTCCCCCACCCACTAAACCTGCATATCAGCTGAGTCCATATAGTCACAAGGGGGAAGAATTTTGCATAAGAAATGCAAAACTCAGGCCGCCTGTAGACTATGAAAGACAGCGCACCATCTCTAACACAGATAGTCCTCCTCCTCTGAAAGCAGTTTGATTGCTAACGTGAAGTCAATAGTATAACTAAAGATGTACACAGATTTGCTAAAGGAGAGATGAATATTCTTTCAGAGCTTCTGCTGTTTCTGTGTTAAAGTGTACACCAGTTGTAATCAAAAGGTTTTCATATTAGGTGGTTCCGACTTGTTTACAAGTTTTGTAAGAGGGAATTTGAACTTTGATAGCAACCTCACTTGCTCCTCAGGCCTTTCAGTGGGGAGTTCCAACAGGGATCCTCACTTAGTCAGTTTTGTGGATTTGCATTTTTACTTCACAAAGTGGAACAACTGATTGGAGCATATCACTTGGAGGAGAAGGATGTGAAAGAGAGAGTGTTCCTAGTAGAGAAAATAAAACCAACTATACAGGCTATGCTTGAGCAGTTGAGAGTTTTCAAGCATTACAAATGCTTCTCACTGTGTTGTATTGTTTGTTGTAGGGCCTCACCAGAATGTCCTTTCAGCCCTACACCTACAAACAGCTACAGCAAATTATTTCATCCAGACTGAACAACATAAAGGCATTTGAAGAGGATGCAATTCAGCTGGTTTCCAGAAAGGTAAGCACAGTGCAGATGTACATCCTCTGTGTTGTGCTAGGTAGAGAGTGTGGGGTACAGCAGGGGAGAATGTTAGTAGTCAGACTTGGTCTGTGGTTCTGTATTGGAGACAAGTGGGGTGCAAGTAGCAGATCTCACATTATGCTCTCTGTAAGGTATACAGGGTATTTTTGCAGGAAACATTGCTAAAGCAGTGTCCTTGCATTTCCCACCTACGTTGTGAAGGCGGCAGTATATTCCAAGAGCTGGATATGACAAGTCATGTGTAATGATGTCAGCTTTCTCCAGTGTTTTGTATAATGTGAGTCATTGGATGATCCTAAAAAAAACCCTTGTGTGGCAGTGGATTGAATTTCCTACATTATTTTTTTTAACCTCTGACTTCTTGATTACAGAAAAAAGATCAGTCTTGAATTTGTGATGACCAAATCATGGTGTAGCAGGGCTACTTCTGTTGGTTTTGGTCAGTGAGATTGTTCCTAGAATCCCAGTTTGAGTAACATAGTTCACAGTAGCATTGCTCTCCTGTTTTGTGGTTGGGTTGTTTTGTTGGATTTTCTTTTGTCTGTTGATTCTTCTGTTCGCTTTTTCAACTTGTAGTAAATACAAACCTGTCCTGTTCACTTTCAGGTAGCAGCACTGTCTGGTGATGCCAGACGTTGTCTTGACATCTGCAGAAGGGCCACTGAGATCTGTGAGTTCGATAGCCAAAAGGGAACCCCTGAGATAGTCAGGATGGCCCATGTGACTGAAGCCATAGATGAAATGTTCTCATCACCATATGTAAATGCAATCAGGTAAAAACATCCCAGAGGAATCTCCTTGCTTTTGTATCTCTTTCACTTCACTTCTTTTCCGAAACCACTCAGTCTGTCCTCACCACTGTTTGGGAGCATATGTGATGCACTGTGCTTTATTAAAGTGTGATACAAAACAAACCTTGTAGCATAGCTGGGAGAGGTACAAAACAGGAATTAAAGGGGAAACAAAGTCACAGAAACCCTTGTACAGGTTTATACAGGATGTTTAGATCAGGAGAGGGCTTTTGGAATTTCCTGTTTGTCCCTGCGTACTGTACATTGATTTCACTAGGCAGCAGTTTCCAAGTACATATATTTGAATTCCTTTCAGTTGGGACTAAATCTAGAGAATTTACTCATGAGCCCACAACTACAAACACTACTGATATCAGCTTAATGGACCAGATTTTGAGCCAGACTGAAGGAAAAACCACTCAGAGGTGCATAGTGTAGTCATCAGGTCCTCAAGAGTCAAAGTATTCCCCTCTACACATCTGCTTGTATCGTGCCACCATCTTTGCTCGCTTAGATGCAGCCATAGATGCCTAAGCAGGATGCAAGAAGTTCCCATTTGAACTGGTTTCTTTCTTTAACATAAATAGATTCTTAGGACTTCCAAAACGTTTCCTAAGGGAATAAATGAGAAATTCTGTTGACTTTGTGGTCTGCACAAGCTGAACTGGTAAAGTGCTTTACCAGTTCTGGTCAAAAACAAAACATCCCAAACTCTGTTTCATCCCAGATGGTGGAGTAAGGGATGAAAATTGGATATTCTGCTGTATGCAAGTGCTGCTTTTAATGTGCTACTTGTGCCTGGAAGCCTCAATGTTAATTTGTAAATTCATGAATGTAAGTTGATCAATACACACTGCAGAACATTTATGATGTATGAAATGAAATGCTGTGTTCAGATACATTGAAAGAGAGGTGAGGTGAAATGAAATGCAGTGCATTGTGGTGCCAGAGCTGCAGGCTGTTGACCCAGACTGCCCCTCTATGGTAGAAAGATAACCTGCATTTAAATAGGTGGTTACCAAGCAGTAATTTCCCTTCCAGACTTTTTCTCTAATGTTTCATAAGTTCTGAACTTCACAGATTGACTTTTGTCTGTTTGTTTGATATGCAGGAATGCCTCGCTCCATGAACAAATCTTTTTGAAGGCAATTTTAGCAGAGTTTCGCAGGGCAGGAGTTGAAGAGGCAACAGTTCAACAGGTATGTTTGTGTTCCGAATCTTCCCCCCCTTAATTTTGGCACTTTACCCCTTAGTTCTACACCTCTTCTTTTTTTGGTCAGGCCAAAGTGTAACTATTTAAATACTTGGAGTTTTTAGTCTTAAAACTTGATGGAAGACAATATAATATAATCAGGCAATGTAGTTCAAGGAGGAAAACTGAAAGTTGATTCCAACTTCCATAGCACTGTCCTTCTCAATAGAAGTAGATACATCAATTTTTTAGGAGGACCATAAAATACCTGGTACCAGCAGTGCTGTGAAGTCTCTGCACAGAGTCTTCATGATTCACAGTATGGAAGCTCGATGTTAACACTTAGAAAAATGTTTAGAACTAGATATATAAAATAACTTGCCAGTTTTCTGCTTCTGCTGGTTCATAAGTATGATTTTAAATTTTAATTAAAATTAATGCATTTTCTGTTACTGGCTCCTGAACATCTGCATCAGTTGATTGCATAGATACACTGTGCGATCACTACTCAAACTTCAAAGAGTATTTTGTTAGACTGGTTTGTTTTCCCCTTCATTTTCCTTTAACATCCAAAGTGTTTTTATCTGCTTTTTCTAAATAGCAAAGCAGAAGACCCCAACTAATTCTTGTTACAAATTTACCAGTCTGCATGATTTGAGAAGTGTGTTCTCCTGTGGTTAAAGTGCATCATGCCTTTCTAAGCTGTGATCTTTCATAGGCTGAGGAAATTGGGGCTGTTCAGCCTGGAGAAGAGAAGGCTGCGTGGAGACCTCATAGCAGCCTTCCAGTATCTGAAAGGGAGCTATAAGGATGCTGGGGAGGGACTCTTCATTAGGGACTGTAGTGACAGGACAAGGGGTAACGGGTTCAAACTCAAACAGGGGAAGTTTAGATTGGATATAAGGAGGAAGTTCTTTACTGTGAGGGTGTTGAGGCACTGGAATGGGTTGCCCAAGGAAGTTGTGAATGCTCCATCCCTGGTGGTGTTCAAGGCAAGACTGGACAGAGCCTTGGGTGACATGGTTTAGTGTGAGGTGTCCCTGCCCATGGCAGGGGGTTGGAACTGGATGATCTTAAGGTCCTTTCCAACCCAAACCATTCTATGATTCTATGTCTGTAGTCAGTGTGGCTTTTGTTTACCAGCCACTGGGCCTGAGTATCACTTCTGAGTGAATTGAATTGGTATGTAATTGTATGGCAGCTCTTAATCTGCTTGGGTAAACTTTAGGCCACCTAGTCAAGAGGTGTAATAACAGGTGAAATGATCCAGTTACTTAAATTGCAGACAAGTTGGTTTGCAAATTGTTTTGCTTTTTTGGCTCTATGAAAAAAGGAAATTATAGCTTGGAATTACTTGTTCCTCAAGAAAGCCCTAACAGTTAGTTCTCTCTCTCTCTCTAACAGGTCTACCGTCACCTTCTAGCTCTGTGTAGAATGGAAGGCATCCCGAGCCCTACAGTGTCAGAAGTGATGGCAGTTTGTTCAAGACTCGGTGCCTGCAGGCTCTTGCTGGTGGAGTCCAGTGCTAAGTACCTCGAGCTGCGGGTGCGACTCAACGTCAGCCAGGACGACATCATGTATGCCCTCAAGGATGAATAGGAAAAATAGAGGTTTTAATATGTGTTTTTATTGACAAAATAGTGATATGTATTTTTTTAAATAGCTGGCTGGAATATTTGGTGTATATTTTGATATAATAAATTTGCTTCAAAGCATTTTAAATAATTGAAATCAAGCTATTTGTTTTTAAGATAGTGTGGTAAGTGGTCCCCTTTCAGCTGAGGTGTGGAAGCTTGGAAAGGTTGCTTCCATCACTGCCTTCTTTTAAGACTGGTGGCATTGCTGTTTATATAGTTTTTCTTCATTGAGTGTAAAAGACACGTTAAGATATGCTTAAACTTAATGATATAATGAAAAGGAACTTTAGTTTGAAGGGAGGAGGCTGTTTCCTACTAGGAAAATAAAAACACCAGAAGAAAAACTGTCATTCAAGTAACCACCGTGGGCTTTTGGGGTTCATTTCGGTTTAAAAGAGGCACTGCTCGCACCATTTACCTCAGGTAACGCCGCCATGCTACAAACCCGCTCCCCCCGTGAGGCCCCCGAGGGTCCCGCCTCCGCTGGCCCCGCCCCTTCGCGCAGGCGCGCTGCCGCCTTGGAGCCGCGGCAGAGGCGTCCCCGTGCCGGGCGGGAGGCGCTTCACCGGGCGCCGTTGGGCGGGCTGCGGGAGGCCGAGGTGAGCCGGGGCTTGCCCGCTGCGGGCTGACCCATCGCGGCGGCCCTGGGCGGCAGGCCGCGGTTATTTACCCCGCTCTCAGCCTATCGCCTCCGCCGGCTCCTCCCTGCGCCGGGGCGGGGAGGGCCGGGCCTGCCCCGCCCTCACGGGGCGCTGGGGACGGAGGGGTCCCGCTGACCTGCCCGCGGGTGCGAGCGGTGTCCGCCACCGGGGCCGGGCCGCGCCGCGCCGGGTGTGAGCCGCCTCAGGCCGAGGGAGGGGTGCGGCTGTGGGGAGGGCGGCACTGGCGGGCCTGGGCCTTGGGGAGTGTGCTTCGTGGTGTGTGGCCCCCTTTCGCCCCTCTCCTGGTGTTGCCCGGTGTCTGGGGGTGCTGGAGGGGTGTGCTCAGCCTGCTCTGTGCCGCCTGCCTTCGTCCGGTTGGCGGTGCGTTGAGACAGGTGGGGATACTGACGTTCAGTTTCGTGTGCTTTCAGGCCCTTAGAGACGCAGCCCTCTGAAATTAATGAACCAACATGCTTGGCAGAAGACCTAAGAAAAGCCCTCAAGCAAAGGGCCAGGGAGCTGCAGTTGCAAAGCAGGTAAGGAAGGTAAAGGGCTAGGGAGATGTGGTTGCAAAGCAGGTAGGGAAACCTCCTACTCCCACAGCTCAGGCCTCTTCCTGCTGTTTTCCTGCTAGAATCTTCCTGTGTGTTAATAAGATACTGCAGGACCATGGCAAAATTAAATTGCATGGTGCCTGTTTTCCTGCTTTCTCCTTCAGCACATTCTTCTCAAAAGTAAATACCTGATATGCAACAGTGGAGGTCTTGCAGGGAAACCACGATGTTGTAATGCTGTAATCTTTGTAGGAGACCTCATGACTCATGCTTACAGTAGTTTACTACCTCAGGTATACTCTGGTTTATCAATAACTATACCAAGGCTTGTCTTGCATTTCCAAGAAGACAGAAATAAAAAGACTGTAGTATCAGATAACAAATTCAGGGGCACATATGGGAGAACATTAAGGTGCTACACCAGAAACAGTTAATTTCCTAGTATATAATCATTTTTTCTTGGAACAGGTAGGCCGATAAGTCTGTATCACACTAAAAGTGAGCTTAGATGTGTGTGTGTGGCTGTTGGTTTTTTTTCACAGTCTTTACCTTTCGCTGTAGTTTCAGAAGCCTTCAGGAGAGAAACACGATGTAGTCATGCCTGGCCAGTGTGGGGAGTCAGGCAACAGTGTCAAAATCAGAAATACAGCCAAGGCAAATTGTGGGTGGAACAGGTAAAGAATGCGTTAGAACCAGAGTGGAACTTTAGAAACTTTTGGAGATAGAATAAAGGCAGGTAACAAGAGGGAGGAGTCACTGATAAAAAATAGAAGGAAATGCAAAAAGACATTGGAATAGGATGTTAGAATAGAAAAATAGCTAAGATACTCTCTTTTGGTGATTTCTTAGGAACCAGCGTTCCCATACTGGAAACAGAATGGTTTAGTTAGAGATCTGTAACATTGCTACGGCTCTAGTATGAAAGTTTGCGTTTCTGAGTTGGAGAGGTAATAGATAGTCTGTTTGAGCAAGGGAGAAGATAAAGGTGAAAATATATTTTCCCCCTTCCAAAAAAAAAGAACCGCACTTTAAAAAGATAAAGAATAAACAAAGGATCTGATTAAGATATCTTACTAATTACTAATTCAATACAGTTGGTTATTCAGCCTGACAGCATAGAGGGTTGTTTCTTGATGCAGATACACTAATAGCTTGCTCACTTGCAAATTAACTCGATTTAAACTGGTTTTGTGCTATGTGGTGTATCAAATGCAAGTTTTTTAGAACCTCTTTTTCTGCTTCATTAAGCATTTATTTAATACCATTAATTTCATTGGAAATGCTGCTTACTGAACAGATTGAGAGACTCAGTGCTTGAACTGCTGGATTCTGTTCTTGACTGAATTCATTACTACACTTGTTTAACTTTCTGCACTTGTAGTGAAGAATGGCTCAGATGTGCTCCTGATCCATTTTGCACATTGATAGAAGGTGTGTGCATGTTCCAGAGCACTTTAATATTTAGATCTCCATTATAAATATTTCCTAACTAAATCGTATCCTGATCTTCTTTCCATTCTATCCAAGACTGCAAATGTATTAGTTTTGTTTTACAGAAGGGAGATGGATAAGGCAGAAGGTGGCTAAATGATCTGCCCAGTGTCTTGCAGGATCAGGGCTAGCAAATAGCTGCTACTTTTGAATACTGTTCCTGGTCCTTGGAATCCATGTTTCTCAGCCATATTTCACATTCTTCTTTGGAAGAGTTCAAAGAGAGTCATAAAACATTTCAAGGCGGTAGCCACCAACATCTCAATTCCTATAGGGTTAAAAAAGGTTGTTACACAAGGCAGCTTCAGCTTCTGGCAGCACTGCACATCCTCAGAGGCAGGAGGAGATTGTTAACTGTTGTAATAATAACAACTGAGTTTTATTCCTTGGCTTGAGAGGGGCTGCACTGCTGCCTGCTTGGCCATGTGAAGATGGGTAAGTCACACTGAGGCCTGTGCTTAGAAAAAGTCTGAGGAAAGTTACTCTGACTACCTCAGAGGATGAACCTAATTCAGTTAATTCATGTTTATCAAAAAAGCTTAGCATACTGTGAATAAAAATGTTGTTATTTCTGGGGCAGTTAGTGTCTTAACCAGCAATGTAACAATTGTGATAAAAAGTTATCTTAGAAGAATACCTTTTAGTCTGAGACCTCAGGTTTCTCTGATACCTATGTCCTTTGGCATATTTTACGACAATTGAGTGATAACCCTACTACTTTGACAAATTCTGATTACTGTTATTAATAAGATTGCTGAAGATGCTGTTGCTTAGCTGATGAAACGACGATAAGCAGCATATGGTGATATGTTGCTTAGCTGATGATATGTCCAGACAGTTGGTTGTTTTCTCCAGTGTACCATAGGCAATCCTGGATTTGTAATCCATGATACATTGTAAGGCTGTGTGTGTGCATGCGTCTTCCATGTGTTTGTGATTTACAAACTGAGGTAAGGAGAAGCACAGAGCAGTTCTGTATATGTGAATATAGCTTCTTCCAAGACATAAGGGGTAAATCTCTGCAGTGTACACATGTCAGACTGGTATTGTGTGAATGATGATTACATACCTTTTAGCTTAGCTGTTAGCAGGAACTGCCCTGAACTTCCCTGATGATATCTGCTTCATGAGGTTCAGTATAACAGACATCATTTTGTTTTGCTTTATTATGTCAGACTGTTAAAAAGGCTTGATTTTAAGGAATCATTGATTGTGTGGAGTTTTAGAGGGAGTATTTGTGGCTTATTAAGATTAATGTGCCTCATGTCAGTTAGTGATTAATGCCCGGTGTGCATTATTTTGGTAATAGAAGTGGTATGAGAGTGGGCCTTAAAAAAACCAAAGAGCAGAATCCAGAATGCATGACAGTGTTTCAGTAATTGACGCAATGTGATGGGTTTGAGTGTCATCTCTATTCTAACTGCGGTATTTTATTTTCCCTTGGCTCCAGCTGGGGCTCTTTGTAGATTTCAATCCAGAAGAGATGCTGCTGGCTGCAGAGGATGGTGGGGATGATGGGGACCTTGAAGCAGAGCTTGCAGCTATCACAGGAGTGAAAGTGAAAGAAGAGAAATCAAAACCAAAAGTGAAAAGTAAGTTTTATAGTGTTTGGATTTTATTTATTGACGACCAGAATAAAATTATTAAGCCACTTACTTACAAATCGCTGGCTTATCTAAACTGTTATTTCACCACTGATAGAAGCTGAAATTGCAACTACTCTTTCCTTAAACCTGAAAGTTTTAAGTTGTAACTCCATAAGATGGGCATGAGCTTTATTTGTCTGTGCTCCTATAGCCCCAGGATAAGGATGCGTGATGGCTTGCCAGTTTAAAGACTAAAGACATGCTTGTTTAGCCTATAAAGCTATTTTAGCTATATAAAGCTTGTTTAGCCTATAAAGCCATAAAAAGGTATAGTAGGTGCTAGATGAATTAAATCATTGAAAGGGAATTGTTTCTTGTGGAGGGTTGGTTGTTGTTTGGTTGTTATGTTTGGGTTGTTTGAAAACTGAATTTACTGAATGTACTCAAATATTGTTACTTGTTACAACAATGAATATCCTTCTAAGAGGGAGATCGTGAAACTGATGAAATGACAGGAGGTTAGAGCATCTCTTGGACTGGATCCTTACTATTCTTAACATTTTAAGCATGTGTTAATGTTGTCTGATGGTGTTTGCAAGCAGTATTCAGTGGTTTACAGGGTTGCTATAAACTGCTGCTAATGAAGGCTGCCACTGAGAGGGGCAGTCCCTTGTGCACATGCTCTGCCTCTAAGCTGCTGCTGTACATATTTACAGAGCTGCAGGCTGAGCTGCTTGAGGAAACTGATCTGTAAAAATACATTTCCCTTGTTGTGCTGGGTTTTCACCTGAATCAGTTCCTTGATCTGGTTTGCTACCTGCTTATTTGAATGCTGCTGTGGCTGCAAGGGAGGGGCGGCAGGAAGTGGTTGAGATGGGACAAGGGGAGTGGGACCTACCCTTGCTACAGTTCTGCAGTATTTTGCCTGTAATACTTGAAGGGACTTCACACAGAGCTGCAGGGAAATGAAGAATTTTAAAGTATTTAGAAAAAGAGACTGTCTACACACTGTAACTGGTGAGAGGCAGAGGAGGTGTTTATATTTAAAACTAGATTTTAAATCATTTCCACTCTCCAGATGTCAAAATTGTAGTAAACCCATAAATCTAATAAGCATAACTGTACTAAGAAGTGCAATAGCAGAACTTCTGCCATTGGGCAAAGGTTGCTCATCGTTAAAACATGCAGGAAAGTGTTTTGAGGGTGAATCTGTGTCCGTTGAACTGTCACCTTTTCAAATGCTGACTTCCTTCCTGCCTTGCTTATGTCACCTAATGTGTTTTTTCAGTTTCTCTATTCATATGAGGGAAATGAAACTTCAGACAGTACAAAACTAAGATTTACTCTGCCTTTTAAAGTTATGTGTTCTATGATTCTGTTCTATGGCTCCTAAATCTGTTTATATCAAAATCATTTCCAGCTCTTCTGTTTTCCTGGTAGAATTGAGAGTATGTAGATTAGAAGCTCATGGAAGATGAACAACTGGATAGCTGGCACTGGGGACTCATGAGACCTGGTACTGTGTAGTGATGAGGGCATGGTGCATGGTAGGGGCACCTGGAAAGGAGGAGGGTACAGTAAGGACGGGAGGAAACTTTTCCTGTCTGGAGAAAGACCAAAAAAAAAGGGACCCAGTACAGTACATTCAAGTGCTCAGTTCTTGGCTATGACAAGGTGCAATAAGTCACTCCTGGATTTACATTCCAGAGCTCTGAAGGGGAAGGGGGGGAGGTGGTCTCTCCCTCTACCTTGAAGATACAGGCAGCAAAAGCTGTACTGTTGCAACATCTTAAGTACGGAGATATCTGCTATCTGTGACTGATAAATGCCAGCTGATCAGCCACTTGGATGTCTGAAATCATAGCCTCAGCTTGCTGTACTGGATTAGAGCTTCTGAGAAGGCTTGACTGGCTTTTTTGCCTTTAGTGGGGCTTCATGTAAGGAGCACTCTGAGCCTTGCACTACAGCCAGTTGCCTTTGGATATGGCCTACTGTCCTAGTTGCAGAGTTTTGCTAAAGGTTAAATCCATGAGCAGCGTGTTTGATATAGATACTGAAGCACTGATATGGTAGATTAGGTTATGTGAACAAAACCAGCTTTGTACCTGAGTTCATTTTCAGCTGATTCAGCAAATGCAGTAGACAGATGGGATCCATTTTAAGATGCATTTAAATTGACTGTAAAGCTCTGTCCTGAAGATGTATATTTTATGCAACATTTAATGACACTTGTGAGTCACAGTCATGTGTCTGCATCAGGAAGTATCAGAGGCGTTTATGTGGATGGTTGGGGTTTGTATGCAAATAAATTCACCTTGGAGAGTTGGTGAAGGAACCTGATAGATAAGGAACTTCGGTTGCCACAGCATGAAGCAGAGAAATCTCCAAGGAGGAGTTAAGTAGAGTTTTCAGTGTTAAGACCAGAGTTAGACAGCAATGCAGAAAACGAAGAAGTGTAGCTAGAGAGCTAGAAGAAACAACACTTTCTCTGATTTCCTTAGCAGTTCTCTCTGCAGTGTTCTGCTGCTACTTTTAGGCTCAGGACAAGTATGATGCCTTGATGTGGAGTGTTCTATTTTTGTATGCCAAGTGTGACTTTGCAGTGGTGTTTGATGTATAAAACAAATAGTTTTTCAAGGTAGAAAGATATCCTTGTCTGTCTTTCTGGCTGTCTTCAAGCATATGGATAATTTGCTGTGCCTCCTTGCTTGTCATGTTAACAGCTGTAACAACCAGGAGTTTGGCTTAAGGCTTGTGTTGTTCAGTATGTCTCCAAAATTGATGTTAATGTGCCTCATCATATTCAAAGGATACATACCTAGTTTAACATGAGATGGAGAGAGAGACATTCTTGTAGACTGTATACTGGGAAAATGGATCAGCAGCTGGAGTCTCAAGCATAATGCAGACCCTATACAAACTCCAGTGATTTAATTAGTTGGTGTTTCATTGGAAGTCTTTGAGCTCAGCACCATTTATGGTAAATGCCTTGAACTTTGTTCTGATTTATAGGTCTCTGTGCTGTTATAATACATAGAATAACGTATTTTGGGCTTTAAAAGAAAATGTGAACAGAAGTTTCACTGGCAGGTGTGCTGGGATGATTAATGCAAGTGTTTGCATCTCATGCATTTAACTGTTGGGCTAACTCAGTTATATCCATAACAGCAGATCTCTGGGAACTAGAATACTTTTAACTCCAATCAGTTCAACATGAGGGAGAGAAGAAAAGGGACAGAACTGGGGAAAACAAATAGTTTGTTGGCACTTAGGGATGGATGGCTGTGGACCACTTCTCTTCCATATTGAGTCAGAAGTTACTTCTGTCAGTCAGGGGCTACACCAAGAGTGAATTACATTTGTTTGGGTAAACTGACAGGAGGCAAAGGACCCATAACAGACCTAGTGGGGATGCTGAATCCAGGCCTTGTTAATACAGACAGTAATGTCATAAATCCCTTTCATAAGTACCTAGCATCAGCTTAAAACTAGATCAGATGTTTATTCCTACTGAGGACAGAGGCTGCCCCAGTAATTCCCTTTCATGCATTGAAAGTTCTAATCAGGTCTATTTATCAACAGTTTATATTAATTTTCTCTTGTGCCACCACTGATTTTTATCTTAACATTGATTTTTATCTTGAAGAATACAGTTTTGATATAACAGCCAAGAATAGTAGTATTCCCCAGTTTTTCTGTGAAAAATTGAAGACTTTGTAAAGACAGAGCTTCTGTAAATAATATCATAGAAGTATTTATCTGTATTTTAAATCAGCCAAGGAGCTTGAGGTGAATTCTATTAAGTTTTTCCTGAAGCAGTTGTTTCATCCTGTCCTGCTTGTCTGTCTTGCCCAGTCTTAACTGTCAGTACCGTGCAAGTCTGCCACAATACCTTTCTCTTTTATGGCTGTCCTTTCTGAGCACTGTTGTGTCCCACCATACCAGCTAGTCTATTACAGTGCTTATGGTTATGCCATTCAGGCTCCTAGTATTAGTAAGCAGACATTATTTCTCTCTGACATCTAATTTCTGAGCTAGGTTATTGGATGCAGTCATTTTCTTTGTTTTACTGCCTGCCTCGACTGTCACTCTCAGAAATACTGGTATTGTTTTTTCCTGGTTGTTCACTTCCCAGTCTTTGCCCTTTATCCATGACTATACTCTCATTTAATTATGGCAGTATCTGATAAGGGGAAACAAAAGAAGCCACTGCTCTTCTTCAGCTGGTAGCAACTCCTTTAAAATTTACATCCAGTGACTGCATAATTGTTACTTGGGCTTTATGGCTCCTTGTGGTTTCTTTTTATAGCTCCTCTGCCCATGGATCATATTGAAAAGATGGCTGCAGAGTGTATGAAGGACCTGAATGAAGACGAGGAAGACGAAGGAGATGATGAAGACTTAGAGAAAGATACAGACCTGTTGGTATGCATAACTTTGTTAGCAAGAAGTTTCAGTGCGTCTTTATTGTGTTTGGGGTTTTAGTTTTGATTTTTGATGGAACTACATTTAGCAAAAAAAGTCTTAACTATGTAGTGAGAAGCTAAAATACTGCAAAAGTGTTTCCCTAGATCTAGAGCTTCGCAGGATCCAGCCCCCTGTGCACAAGCATAAGAGTTTCCTAACTAACATTCATATGCAAGAGGGTCCTCAAGAATTGGGGGAACAGCAGGAATCCCATTCCAGGTCAGCTGGGGGAATACCACCAGGGACGTTCTCCTTAAAGTGACGTCTGTCACTGTTTAGCTACTGCTTCGAGTAGTGCTTGGCCTGAGAGAGCATCTCCCAAGAAATTCTTTATCATTTCAGTGAGTGATCTAAGGGAAGGAGTGGTAAGCAGTGGTTTTTACTGCCAGTGTTAATAGATGCTTTTTGGAAATCTCAAATTTGGGTGTGAATGAACTTTGTAAAAGTAATTCTCTGAACATCTCCAGTTTCAGATCTCTAACTGCAAATTTGTGTGGTGATCCTGGAGCTTTTAAGTGGTGTCTGGCTTCCTATTGTGAATACAAGTGTGACCAGTTTCATTTAAAAATAAAAATAAAATAAAATAAAAGATTGGAATAGAAGACTTTCAGACTCTCTGGTTGGGTTCAAAGTCCATCCAAAGATTTTGGGGCTTGAGACTTGATGTTATTTTGCATTTTGAGAAAATAGAAAAGTATGAGGAAAAGCCTTTTGTTGGCTTTTACTTTTACTTTAGGCAGAATTGCAGGAAGTTCTGGAAGGTGAGACGGAAAGCTGTGAGGATGAAACAATAGCAATGGAGCCATCCACTGCTGAACCAGAAAATGAGGAACCGGAACTGCAGCCACAGGTAGGAAAGAGCTTCATGTTCCTTACAGTTTTGCTGAATCACTGCTGTCATACAGCTTATACGAGAGTCATAAACAAGGATCTAGAGAGGTCTTCTTGCCCTCCAAGGAAGGAGAAGCTATGCTATTGGTGTCTTCTCTGTGGAAACCAGTGCTGTGTTGGTACAGGTGATTTTTTTGCTTTGTTCAGCAGATATATTTTAATATTAGCATAGAATTGAGGAGGTAAACAGTTGGAATCAAGCATGTCTTGTCCCTCATGTATATAAGCATACAGACTGCAGCTTAGGCTTCCAGAGTTCCTGTATTCCCCGTTATTGAGCAGCATGCCAAAATTGTGAGACTTGTTAGCACTCAGCATCCTTGGCATCTTTGTGGAATTTTTCTCAGTAGGATTTGCTTTCTCAGCTTCATTGTCAATCCTCATGCAATCAAATCGTTTATTCAGTTACTGCCATGTTTCTGTTTACGCTACAGATTCCGGTGCCCTTGTGCATTAGGCCTGTTAATAAATGGGTCTGAGAGAGTTTCTGTAGAGATAATGGCAATAATTGCATCAGTAGCCATCTGAAAATGCCCTGTAGCTGGGGAGTCTTTGTAAGTAGCTACTCATAACTTTGCTTAGGCTGCTTGTGTCACTGAACTAATTCCAGGCTGTAGGAGGAGGAGAAAGAGCTCTTTTTGTAGTAAAACCAGGTTGAAGAAACCCAGAAGGGAGTAAACTAGCGTGTTTTAAAAATAAGAAAAGAAAAAGTCAAGATTTGTGCCAGAATACTTCTTCACACCCTCTGTTGTGTGGTGTTTGAGAGACTTCACTGTTCTGCTCACCTACTCCCTAACCACATGGCTCCAATTACCCTGTAACTGTGAGTTTTCTAGATGTCTCCACCCATTCTTCTCTATTAGGCCTTTGAGAGAAAGCCCAGAGGTGGATCCAGGGACTGTTAGGGTAGTACAAGTGCTCCTCTGTTTGAGAGACTGTTCCGTCCTTGTGCTCTTGGTTAACGGGAGTGTGTGTGGAAGAGGAGTATTTGTTTTTGCAGTGCTGTGGGAAAACGCGTATAGTTGGATGAAATAAGTTTTCTTGATTTGTTTTATTATCTTTTCTGAGACCACCTCACTTCCTGCTGTTACCAGTGAGCTGCAACAGACAATAGAGAAGAGGCTTGCTAACTATAGGACAGCAATTGCTAACGCAAAGGAGTCGGGTGAGTCGGCCAAAATACGCCGATACGAAAGAGGCCTTAAGGTGAGTTGGGTTCATCGGGTATGTGAATGAGGCGGGGACAAAGTCTGTTCTCTAAACTGTGGTTAGAGTCTTTCCAGATGTGTGGATTTGTTGAAGTGGGAGAGAAATTCTAATATGCTGCCTTGAGTTACTTTAAAGGCATTTCTTGTTACTACCAATTTGATGTAACAGATATACAGATAAAGTGTAACTTCAGATGCCTTCTATACGTTAGCTTTGTTTCTGTTGAATGGGTAATAAGGGTAGCTGGAGGCAAGGTTTGTGGCAAATGCTGATGTTAAACTCACCGACCTAGATCTGAATTTGACTTGTGATAGCTGTTCCATGTTACTTTAAAGCAAAGTTTAGGAGCATTCCTAACACAAACACCTTAATACTAACCCTCCACTCACTTCTGTGAGACAAAGGAAGGTAAAACCTTTTCTGTGAGTGCATTGGCTGTGCTTGAAAATGAATAGAACAGGATTTTTCATTAAGGCAATTAAAAATTGCAGCAAGGAGTGTTCTCTTCAGTATTGCATCTTCTCAGCCAGGTGGCGTGCTTGTAGTTCGTTGATAGTGCTTGGTGATTGCTGCTGTGCAGAGTGCCTGTATTTCCCTGTTCGCTTTTATCTGGTCCCTTGCATCACCTCACACAGCAGCCAGCTTGGTCTTGTTGAGCAAAGCTTTATAGCTCAGCAGTGTCCACTGGGGGAAGAATGTCTCACTAGCTACAAGGGTACAAAGGGAACAGCTGAAGTCAAACCCAGGGGAGGAAATGCACAAGAAAGAAGATGTCTGTATGTGTCCTCTGCCTGCTACCTCTGAAAGGAACATACATTAAACTACCTGACCTTTCAGAGAGCGAGATGGGCAAAGCAGCTTATTTCATCCAACACCGAAGCTTAGTGCACTGTTTGGCACTTCCTTTATTTTTCAAGGCAGGGAGTTGCTCTGTCTCTAAGCAGTGTAACTAAGGATAATAGAGCAGATCACATTTCACAGCTCACAGTTCCTTAATTAGCAAAACGACATGCCAACAAAAGGTGTCCTTAGTTCTTGGAACTGTGAAGTTTAATCTCAATGTTTAATTCCATTTCCCGTCAGTCTGTCATCCCACATGTGGAGGAGAGAGGCCTGTGTGTGGGTTGCTGTACTGGTCTGAACCCCCATCTTGCGTGCTGTCGGTCCCTGTATTTCTGTTGCTTAATAGGTCAAACAATGTCATGGCTAGCCAAAAATAGCAGCAATTCTGGCACTGATGAGATTATTTTGTTTTCTTTCTGTGCTTCTATTTTGGTTTCTGTGGAAGATGAAAGAAGTAGAATTTTTGTTTTGGCTTAAAGTGCATGGTGGTCTTTGAACCTTAAATTTCAAACAAAACAGTACAACAACTTACTGAGGAAGGTAGTGTTTGTGCTGGAGGAAGGGGTTTAAAAATACGAGCAGCAGTTAACCCATGTTACGTATGGTGAGAGCTGCTTGCCGTAGGTCACCAGCTGAAGCTCCATTTCCTTTGTTAGTAATTAATGGCTTTTCTCATTGCATTGGGCAGGTATGCATGCTCCTTTCTTCCCTAAATCCACATAGGCAGTGGCATTTCACAGTAGTGTATTTTATTTTGAAGACACAAAATCCATCTGCAGTTAGTATAAATGGCTTCCTTGGTGACTTTCTGTGGCAGAGCTGAGTGGGCCACATCAGTTATCCAACAGTTCTGGGTATTGAGGTACTTGCAGTTATGTAGTTTGGGTAGCAAGTCCTTTGCATTGTGTTGCTCTGATAATTGGACACCTTTCACTAGCACTGAAGTTGGCCTTGCAGGGAAATATAGAGCTAAAGGGCAGCAGCCTGTAGTGATGTGTGTAATAGATCTCATCAGGTGTAAGGGAATGAATTTGTGTTTTAATGATTTTATGCTAGTAGCATGTTTGATGAAAATTCCTATTGACTTTGCTGTTCCATCTCTGCCAGACACTAGAAACCATGCTGGCTGCAGTGAAGAAAGGCAAAAAAATCAATGAGGAAGAAATGCCACCTCCTGTTGCAACAGGAAAGAGTTCTTCTCACTTATCCCAAGCTACAGGAGTGGAGCTGGAGAATACAGGAGATTCAGTTGGTGACCTACTGGAGAATAAAGATGAGTCTGCTGCAGATGATGAGCAGAAGACCCCTCATGAAGCAGTGCAACATGTGGAATCAGAGTCTCTACAGGGTCACGATGCTTCTAGTCCCACTGCAGAAACAGGTACCCTGATCTGAGGGTATAAGCAATCGCAACACTATTTAAAGCTACATCTTTCTTGATATTTATAGCAAAGCACTATGTTGGAACTTCCCTGCTGAATGTTTCAGATAGAGTAGTCAGTGAGATGCTGAATTTCTGGCAGTGGCATCAATTATTATTGGAGAGCTCTTACCTGCACTGTATCAGTATCTTTCACTTAACTTTTCCTTTGCCTCAGTTTCTCCTTCAGTATTGTCACGTGGAATTCCAAGCTTTAAGGGGTTTTGAGATACTGACTAAAAGACCACTTTTCAATTGGGAAAAGTGGGATTATGATGTCTGGTAGAACTTCTGGAGACTGGTGAAAAAAGGACTTACTTAAGATGGCTGTGTGGTTCAGAGCAAAAGAGGTCAAATGCAGGTATTGAATAGATGGACATAGCAATGGAAGCACATCTTGCAGGCTCTGTATAAGTCTTGAATGTTCTGTTTCATTCTCACAGATCTCCAGAAGAGCAGCACACGAGCAATACTACTTATGAGGCAGAAGGAGTATAAATTAGCAGCTCTGAAAGCCAAGCAGCAAGGGGACCTGGAGAAAGCAAAGGAATACATGAAGGCAGGCAAGGTGTGCACACAAGAAGTCATGAATTATAAACATACTCTGTGCTTTACCAACATGCATTGAGTGTCAAATATTTATTGTGGCAGCTAGAAAGACTTGGACATACTAGAATAAATCCTCTGTTTTGTTTTTTTTGCATTAGAAATTTAATGTGGTCTTGGAAGCTTTGGACAGTGGGCAGCCAATAGACCTGGAGAATATGCCTCCATCTCCTCAGGGTAAGATTTGCCTTACAGAAGCCCTTTTAGAAGTCTCTCTGTGCTGTAATGAAATGATTCTGCATTTGATTGCAAAACTGTAAGAATTGAAGATCACATAGGTCTGAGGCTTATTGCATGTTCAAATTCTAATCAAAACCTAAGAAGAAAACCGAGTTCTTATATTGAAGTTACTCTCTGTGAATTACAAGTTCAAGTAGGCAGTGATGTCTAATATTCCTGGGTTTATAGCTTTATACAATAGATCATATTTAAAAATGGAAGGGAAAGAAGAGTAATGGCACATCCTTAAAGTTTACTGTGATATTTGATGGTGTTATGGGTTGTCAACTGAAGTTCATAATGTTCAGGTTAAGAGATTACCAAATAGGTTGCAGTGCAGTGAAGTTTAATTTTAAAGGAAGTTACTTGTTTTAAAGATACTTCTATCTTTTTAAGAGAGGGCTTTTTAAACTAGGTCTGGTGTTGCCACCAACATTTAATTGAACTTAATGTTTTAAACCATTTACTTTAGTAAATTAATTTATTCTAAGAAATTAAATGATAGATTATTTCATTAAGTTACTTGATTTATGATTCCTTAGGTTAGAAACTGATCACCAAGTGGCATTAGAGAGAAAGTTCACTCATGACACAATCTTACATTGAAAAGTGCAAGATTTTTGCAGTGGATAGTTCTATAGTTTTCTGAAGTAACCACTGCTACACAGTGCCAGAAACTTGGGTGTATGAATGGATGGTGTTACTTGCTTTCCTTTTTCAGCACATCTTTTGTTACTAGAATATTTTAGTCAGTTAGCAATCTTGTTCACTCCTTCCATCTGCCACCACACCAAATTGTATTTTGAGGAGAGAATTCTTAGAATACTTGAACTGGTTGTACTTTTTTTCTTTTCCCTTTTCTCGCAAGCAGCACTAACCTAAATTAAATCGGTATTTGAGATTTCCTGTTATGAAGCATTTTCTCTGAATGATGGGAACATTACACTTACCTAGCCATGCAGATACTGTTCTGAAGCCAGAAAGCTTTCAGGAAGGTGATGTAACTGAATTGATGGTTTTCAGAGTAACATGGGTTGACTTGGTGTTTATGGAACAAGTGAAATTTCCTGCTTTCCTTGCATTGCAGATCTTGAGAGCCTAGTAAATGTACAAGGTGCATCCAAGCAAAAGGTACCTGCTCCAGTGGGAAGTTTCCAGGATCTTAAACCACCTGAACCTCACACCCGAGAAGCTTCAGGTAGGACTTGTGGGTTTCTCTTGCAAGCCATAGAAATAGCACAGGTGAAAGGCACTTTAAAGCCTGCCCTATCCCACTGAACTGCATCAGGATTGAGTAAACCTAGGTCCTGAGTATTGTTTGCTCCTGATCCCATCTATACTTTTGTATTCATAGTAAGACTTTGCAATGATGTTTTTGTCTCTGCAGAAGGTAAGGAAGGGGAGGAAGAAAGCAGCTCATATGTTTTGAAATCCAAATCACATACCATTTCTTTGTCTGTCTTATTTCAAGCTTCCCTGCAGCAGCCAAAAACGGTGCTGGAAGCATTGCAGCAAAGGCTTGAGAAGTACAAGTCAGCAGCAGCACAGGCTAAAGCGAGTGGGGATGATCGGAAAGGCAGGATGCACGAGAGAATAGCCAAGGTAAATGAAAGTGTGGCAGGCTGCTTGCATCCAGCAAAGCCATTTGAGTTAGTTCTCTTGCTGAAAACTTTTTCAGGGCTGAAATAATTTGTGTATTGTTCTTCTGTTTGTAAAGAGCTCCAGTAGGAAAGCTGTAAAGCATACAGAGGGAAGAATATAGAGAGACAATGCACATATTATAGTAAAATACTGTGTCTTCTGCAGTATTTGTGGTGGCTAAGTGCAGATGATTGCTGGTTTATAGTCAATTCTGTTTTATGTCTTACTGAGTGCCTTTGTTTGCAGCAATACCAGGACGCCATAAGAGCCCATAAAGCAGGGAGAAAAGTGAATTTTTCTGAGCTACCTGTTCCTCCTGGTAAGTGTGAAAATAAAGTGTCCTAATGCCATCTTCTGTATACTTACTGGGCTCTGAAGGAGCTGTGCAGATACTGCCTCCTCATCCTGTAGAACAGCTCCTCGTATTTCTCAGTGGCCTTGCTGTTTGATGGTATTGTGAAAGTGATTATAAATATGCACCCAAACGTTAACACTGGTGAATAGTCCTGATTGTCGACTGTAAGTTCCAAACTGCCTGTTTGACAGTATTGGAACTTAAAACTGGTGCTGTTTGAAAAGTTTTACAGTTTAACCATGGGCAGGTGCTGAAAATGTTGCCTGTTTGTCCTATGTATTTGCCCTGGTTTGTCTTTCCTCCTAGAGGAAAGATTGAATTTGGGATGTATTGGCTTTTTAATTTACAGGAAGGAGATTTCTGACCCCATTCTATTGATTTCCACCAGGAGCCTCAGAACTTTCTATCTAATTAATCATCATCTAGCACCTGACAAGTCAGACCTGTAATTCAGCTCTCATGACCAGTAAAATTAGTGTACAGAGATGAAGCAAGTCATGCCTGTGGTCACACTGAGACACTGGCATGGGCAGAAACTGAAGCTGCTTCTTGAGACTGTGTGTTCTTTTCAACTTCTTCAGAACACACATAGTGCTGTATCTGTAAAAGGTTACACAAGGTCGTCTATGAATGTTCCACCTCTTTTTTGCATGATACTGTTTCTCCCCTAGGAAGCATCATTCCTTTTATCTTGTGCCTGGTGTGTTCTCCTGAAAAGATACTTAGCACTGCAAGGAGGTGCCTAGGCTTTTTACTTTAGGAAAAGGACATGGACCTTGTGGCTTTTTTTTGTCAAATGTGGCAGTAGCAAGCACTGTAGTAGTAGTATAGTAGGCAGTGCCAGCTCTGTCAGGTCATGTACTGCTGTGAAGGTTCCCTGCTTTGAAGGTGTTCCTGGAAGGCTGAAAAGTTGGACCAGATGATCCTTGAGCTCCCTTCCAACCTGGTAGTCTGTGATTCTATGAAAAGCAGTTTGGCACCCCTCGTTCTAGAGAGTGATCAGTTTCTTGGTAAATCCCAGTTTCTGTAAGGGTGAGGTACCCCATATTTACACTTCTGAAAATACGTATAACTCCTCCATTTCCTTACATATTAGCTACATGTTTTTCAGCCATCATTTAGAGGCCATATGATTTTGGTTGAAGACAACCATCAAGCAGTCACTGGGACCAGCAATGAGATTATAATAGACTGGCAGTGCATTTCATTGCATCTGAATGATGATAAGAGCCAGCCTTGATCTCCTTGGAGACAGAAACGCTGCTGAATAATGGATCAAACTGGGGGCAGCAGCATAGGGTTCTGCCTGTCTGTGTACCTCTAAACATGTTCTGTCCCTGTAGGAGCTATCTCTAGGTTTAGAAGCAGTTTAGTTGCTATTTCTTGGCACCTCTGATGAGACCAGCAACAATACTTGGTACATATTAATAAGATAAATCTTATTAACAGACATTTCATAGTAGTTGCTCTGTGTCTCGTTCAAAGCTGACACTGAAGTGGGAGTGTGGAAGTGAGTTTATTTTCCATCATCCAGCCTTCCTCCCGTCCTTAAAAGGATAATAAAAGCAAAAAGGATTGTTCTTCATATACTTCACATTTAATTACTGTGATTATGCCTTACTTTGCAACCCCTGTATTGCTGTGGATTTTCAGCAGAGGCTGTTAGTGTGTTATCTAGATGTTAGCGATGTGTGGTTTTATTACTGTATGGAATAGCACTGGTTTTCTGCTGGACTATGTACCTTTAAGGTGAGGCAGCAGTGAGAGGGGAAAAAGAGCCAGCAACAGCTTGTACTTTGTGCAAAGGAGACTGAATTCTTTGCTGGTCCTGGAAGCATCTCTGTTACCAAAGTCTTGAGTTTGCATGGTTCCGTGGCTGGCTACCGGTTGCTCAGCTTAGAATACTGTGCTCTGTTACTGCATTATCTTAAAGTCTGTATATCTGTGAGAGATCAGATCTTAAGTCCACCACTCAGACTTTATCTAGCAAGGCTTTGTGGCCTTGGTCTAAGTGTGGTTATGCTCAATTATGAAATAAATGAGGTAATAGATGCTTGGATAGAAATACCTTTATGAAAAGAAGAAATATGGAAGACAGATCTTAGGTCTTATGCACCTCTTCTGTGTTCCTTTCCTCCACAGGATTTCCCCCTCTTCCTGGTATTGCAGCAACGGATGGTGACAGCTCAATAGCTGCTGTTCTGGAAAGTGCTGGCAAGCTGGCAAATATGGAGGAGAATGAAGATGACGAGGAGGTTTGTATTTCTTAGTAGGATGTGTAAAAGTTAAAACTCTGTCTCTTCGATGTGCAGAGATGAGGCCACTGGATTTCCAGTCAAGGAAGATGAAATACATTTCCCATAACTCTGAAGAGTATATGATCTCAGTAGTAATTTCAGTTTGTATTATAGTGCAGGAGAGAGATGAGATGTTATTAGAGTCATTACCTACAGAGTCTCTGAGTCCAGAGTTTGGCTTTTTCATAACTGTCTTACGTGTGGCTTTTATTTTCAAAGCAAACACTTCAGATCCTAGTCACCCCCTCACATTGTTCTAAAGTACTTCAATCTGTATTTTCATCCTGCATCCCAGTAGCTCCTCTGTGCTTTCCCAGAATTTTCAACACTTCTTGTCAGGCAGCACCAGCCTTTAGACTTCGGTTTGATTTCTTTCTGTCTCTGGATTTGGTTTCTGATTGTTTATGCTTTCAACTGGAGTAGCTTTTAACCCCCTCACATTGTTCTAAAGTACTTCAATCTGTATTTTCATCCTGCATCCCAGTAGCTCCTCTGTGCTTTGCCAGAATTTTCAACACTTCTTGTCAGGCAGCACCAGCCTTTAGACTTCGGTTTGATTTCTTTCTGTCTCTGGATTTGGTTTCTGATTGTTTATGCTTTCAACTGGAGTAGCTTTTAACGGAGAGAATTGCTAGATGATGTTTTTTCTGCATGCATCTGCTTGTTTTTGAAGTCAGTGCCTTGTTGAACATTCCTTTTGTCCCTTCTATAGTGGAGGTTTGACCACTTGCACAGGTTAACTACCTAATGGCATGACTCATAAACCTCCAGAAGTTAAAATTTGCTGTCTGGAATGTTATGTTCCCCTCAAAAGTGATACCAGAAGGCTGATAAATGATAACCATGGTTGTTGATGCTGTCCTCAGCCCTGGAATAGATTTTTATTTATATAATATGAAATTCCTTTTGTTATGTTAGACTGAACCTCTGGCACAGGCCCCTGTTGCCAAGAAGCCTGCTCAGCTGCCTGCAAAGCCGACTCAAGTTGTTAAGCCAATTACAGTGCCATCTGCTGTAGCTGGGGAGGAGAGCTCTCCTGAGCATGTGAAACGAGCTTCATCACCTTCCACCGTGCATCAGGCAGAGTCAATGGATCACCTCCCTCCAGCTGGTAAGATGAAGGGATTGTCATTCCTAGTGATCCATTAGCAAGTTGCTTGCACTAGTTTAGTTTAATACCTTGGTAAAGACTTCATTATCTTTTAGATATGAGCTTGTGAATACGTGCCATAAGTGTCCTCTGGCAGGGGCCTCAGTATATGTGTCTGCTGGAGGGCAGATCCAGACCAGCCATGCAGCTTTATTTCATAGAGACAGCAATGTGTAATTCTAAGGGTGCTTGGGTTTTTAATTAATTTTGATGTAACAAATGTATCCATTCATAATGTTTAACTCAGTTTACAGTTGAACTCTGTGTGTACTCTCATTAAAGTGGACAGCTTGCCAGTGTGAATTATTCATTGATCTAATGCAGCTTTTACATCAAACAATGGTTTTTGCCTAGTGCTTTATCTGAGGATCTCAAACTGATACATAGGCAGTAGTTCATCAGTTTCTTGGTCTCCTGTTGCTAAGGTCACTGAACAGTCTGTACAGGATTAATTGTACAGATAGTCAAGGGCAGCCGCCTCCTCATGGTGTGATTTGGGCACACACCAGCAGTGTTCAGGCTCTCACTGATTCTGTTGTTTGCCTTGACTGTAATTGAATCATAGAATCACAGAATAGTTTGGGTTGGAAAGGACCTTAAGATCATCCAGTTCCAACCCTCTGCCATGGGCAGGGACACCTCACACTAAACCATGTCACCCAAGGCTCTGTCCAACCTCGCCTTGAACACCGCCAGGGATGGAGCATTCATAATCCCATCCTCCTTCCATTCTGCCCTGGGTGGTTCCCTCAGGACTGCGGATGCAGGGTCTTTTACAGGCTGACAAACATTTCACAGTGCCAAGCTTAAGCCTTCTGTCTAGAAAAATTCCATGACTTGTTTTATAAATACCGCTAAAACTTAGTAGTTGTCCATTTTGACTTTGAAAATCTGTGAATCCTCAGGATTTTGGGGTGTTGCAGTTTTAGCTGACATATTAATCTTTTGAGTGAATTACTCTCCACTTACAGTGTGAAGGAACTGATATCTGGTCTCTGATATGACAGTAATTTCTCCTGGGTGTTTCACGTATTGTAAAAGAAGACCAATAGGTGCAACAGGAACCTAGACAGATCATACTGACATGATTTTCACTACAGTGAAACAGTCAGTACTTCACTAATGTAAAGCTGTATTTCATTAGCCAAAGTGCAGATGTTACCTCCTGTCCCCCAGAATTCCCAAATGCAACTTACAGCTGATAAATCGACTGTAACAGAACTGTGTTGTTGGAGGGCACAAGGCATAGGGAGGTGTGAGAGTGGAGCAGTTGCACTTAATGCCTCCACCAGGAAAGGCAAGGAGCCAAGATCAGTTGGATTAATGGCTTTGTTCAGTGCATTCTCCACAGATTTTCTTTGGAATACCTGTGCTCTGTGTCTCAGGCTCACAGAGCACACTGTGGGTTTTGTCTCAATGGAATCTGGGCTAGTTACCTTGGCTAATTAATTTGGGTTTGGCTGATTGGGCAAATTGCTCACAGCAGCAGGACAGTGGCTCTTTTGTGAGGATGGGAATAAGGTGATTGTCATCTGCCAGCAGTGAACATAGTGTGAGAGTTACTGGTGTATTTGTTTGCCAAGACAGGCACCTCTTGCAAGTGCTGCTTAGCTTGTGTAATCACAAGTAGAGTGCAGTGGTGAATACGAGTATCTTTGAAAATGGCCCATGCTGTGCATTTTCTAAGTGAGGTATAGAAAGAGGCAGGATGCACTCACCTGGTACAATGTAAAGCATTCTTTCCTGACTTGCACAGTTGTCCTTATATTATGGGAAGGAAAGAGGAGACCCAATAAGAAGTGAAGATGGCAAGGAATCACAAATAAGCAGAGGTGATAAATCTGAATGTGCCTGCATATTGGTTCATCTGTGTTTCTTTCCTGACAGTTCAGGGCTGAGGGAATAAATGAGTGCAGAAGATGCTCATATTTGCTGTCTTCTAGAAGTTAACATGTCAAGCTGAAAGCTTGTATTCACCTTCTGCTTTGGATCTGCAAATAAAGGGCTGTAATCACTGTTGTGACACTTGTGATGTGCTAGGAGGTTTTGATGAAGATGCCGTGATAGAAGGAAGTTTGTTTCTTTTTTCTGATACTTGACATTGAATCTGGCCAAGAAACAATTAAGTTCAGTAAGGAAATGTCCTTATTGGATAGCTGTACTTTTGCTGACCTTTTTCTGGCTATAAATGGAACATGATAAACCTGTTTCAGGAGCATGGCAGTGTCAGATGAATGAAGGTTTTTATTCAACTGTTTTTCAGTGAGGGAACAGCTGGAATTTCTGGAGAACAGAAAGAAGCAATACATAAGGGCAGCTGTCAAAGCAAAGAAGGAGAATAACCTTGAACAGGCCAAGATGTATCTCAGGACAGCCAAGAGCTTTGACATAAAGATTCAGCAAGCAAAATGTGGCAAACCTGTTGATATTTCCAAGGTTAGTAGGACTGTCAGTATCTTGCTTTGTTTCATGTTCTTGGACATCTAAGTGCTTACTTCAAACACTGGATGATTTAATAAACATTTCTTGACACAATTAAGTTAAAGTCTGGATGCTGAGCTCTGAAATCCTCCTATATTTTTGATTTAGTTTTCATTTTGTTTCCTCTGCTGCTCAAGTGTTCCAGATTTTGAGAACATTTAGTCTCCATGAACCGTTTGCTCCTTGATTTACACCTAAACCATGCAGCTTAGAAGTATCCCCTGTGGTTAGGGTGTGAGTACATCTCTTAGCTACGTCCTGGCTCCGTTTTGGGATGAGGATCAGGTGCATGTGATGGAGTGATGCCCTGGTTTCTCTTGGTATTTGGCTAGATGGGAAACTAAACTGCCCTGTTCATTATTGCTGACCTGAATAATCAGGGAACTAGGCCTGTAAGACATGTTGCAGGGTTTATGATTTAAGCAGTTGTCAGTGGAGTGAGTATGGTTTGGGTTGGAATTGCCTTGAGAAGGAACACAACCCCCCTCCTTTCACTGACCTTTCCATACATTCTGGCTGCTTTTTGTTTACTTAATTTTTTCCCCTATAAGGGCTCTGAAATGTGGTGTCCTTACATTGCAGCTGCCATCACCCCCTACAGATGATGAGGGCGATTTTATCTTCATACACCATGAAGATGTCAGACTGTCTCAGAAAGCAGATGAAGTGTATGCACAGCTCATAAAGCTGCTGAAGGACCAGTATGAGGTGACCAGTTTATCTTTTTTAGTGAGGCTTTGGGTGTTGTTATTTTAATATCTCTCTGGGTTTTATTAATATTATCATCCATCCCATCATTGTTTCTGTGGGGTCGTTTGCTTTTCTTTTAAATTACTTCTGATTTTGTGTGTCCTAAAGGGGAGCATTTTCAAAGTTAGATTTTCTACTTGTTGAAGTCAGAGGCTGTGCTTGGAGGCTCGGGACTATCAAACTGCCACTGTTAATATGAGCACTCCGGTTTGTAAATAGTACCTGGATGATTAAGACCAGCCCTTGACTGAACCTCATATTTGGAAATGAAGTGATTAAAAAGCAATTAAAAAGGGCAGAACAGCTTAAATGCTGTGCTGTTTTACTGGGAATGGTGGGTGGATGGTTTTGGGTGTCTTGGGAAAACTCTTGCCATTTCTTAGGTTGTCATCAGCCTCAAAACTCTGCCAGTCACAAGTCTGTGTATAAGGATCACTGAGTGCAACTGTATTTGTTTGGGTTTGTTTCTGTTGACAGAGGTGTCTGCAGTATTCCAAGCAATTCATGCATCTGGGAAATGTAGCAGAAACGACTCGGTAAGACCCGCTGTTAAATCATCCCACAATGTGGTCAGTTCAGGCTTGAGTCTGCCTGACCCCCTTGAAGATGATGGGGTTTCAGGTTGTTTCTCATTAAGTGAAAGGGTCAGGACCTGTGAAGCCTCCTGCATGTCCAGGTTACAATCAGACTTTTGGTGTGAGGCTTACTGTCTGGGCTGTGTCTGGCAGAATGCTCTGTTTGATGTCCCAGTGTGTGTTGTAGCTTTTCTGTTGTTTCTTTGCCTTTTCTGTAGGTTTGAGAAAATGGCACAAGGCTGTAGAAAGGACATGGACATCCTGCAGCTTGCACGAGCACAAGGAATGGAGCCTCCAAGCCATCACTTTGAGGAAAGAACTTTCAAGATGATAAGGTATGGAAAACCAAAGGGATTTCTCAGGCATGCTGGAATGAGTTTCCTGGTTTTTAGATCTTCTTTAGGGAATTGTGGGCTTCAGCAGACTTGGGTAGCACCTAGGGTTATGCTCAGCATTCCTTAAAAGACACACAACAACTTAAATACACAGAAATTCTTCTCTAACTTCTCTTCTGGGTTCTTTTGTTTTCAAAATATCTTCAGCTTCATCTCATCATATTCTGTTACTCGAGATACTCTTCCTTCCTCTGTGTTCCTCCCTCAATCCTGTTGCCTTTGGGCTTTGTTGATGGCATTTTCCATTCTACCTCAGAGATGTTTTTGTCTTGGTTTGTGCTTTTTCCTTGCTCTTTTGTAACCTATGAAGATGCTCTGTGTAGGAGTTGAAAACAGTCTGGCACATTCCTGGTGTCCTGGTCTGGCAGTGGATCTGGCGGTGGGCTACTGGGATGAATACACTTTTTTTGTCATTCTTCTTTAACAGGATATTTTCTGAGCTCAACAGCACAGAAATGCACCTTCTTATTGTCAGGGGGATAAACCTACCAGCTCCACCAGGTAGGTACTCAAAAGGGCACGTGGGCTTTTTCCCCTGGGTAGGTAAGGAAAGTAGTGGGGCATGAGATTTTTCTACCTTAAAGACCACTTTAGGAGTCAAGACTTGTAGCCAGCACTCATTAAAACGAAGTAACCAAGGTTCAGGCTCAAGCCCCCACAAACTTTTAAACAGTATTAAAAAAAACCCCAACAAACAAAATCCCCAGAAGAATAAAGAGAATCTGGGATCCATCTGGACAGAGGGAAGAACTTTAAATTGTCCTGGGTTCACTCATAACTGGGTCATAGTTTTAGTTTCGTGTTTATCTCCTATTTTGTTATGCCCGCCTTAACTCTGCACCACGTTAATGTGTATTGACCCCTCAGTAGACAGGAGTTGCTCCTGCCAATATTCCTGCTCTTCGTCCCTTTTTTTCTGGGAGCTTGTAAACCATCTGTGCCAGTCTGTCTCAGGACTAACAGCAGCATTAAGAGAAGTAGGTGTTTTTCTTTGGACACCAGCTCTCTGGATTTTGGTGCGTTGGATTTCAGTTATCAACAGACAGGTCATGAGTCCTACTGAAACTCACTCGGGTGCTCTTGAGAACCCTGCTCAGCATTACAGATGCAATGAACATACCTATATGGGCTGTTTGAATTGATGGTGTTGTCTCATTCAGGTGTATCCCCGAGAGATTTGGATCCCTTTGTGAAGTTTGAATTTCAGTACCCGAGTGCGGTGAGTGTGTGTCCTGGCTCTGCCCTTACTCAGTCTGACCCTTGCCACTGCTGTGTTAGTGTGGGAGGGCTTCAAGGAGGAAGTGTGGGTTTTCTTCTAGAAAGGGAGAACACTTCCAGCCATACTGCCTGAATTTAGTTCTAAAACAAGCTTTTCTGAGAAACAGAACTGCTTAATGAGTTTCCTGTGGATCTGAGCTTTGCTGCCCCTTGATGTTCTCCACATCTTACACTTAGCAGCGTGGAACCTGCTTTAGGCTTGCATGTTCTCTGGCTGCCTGACCACCAGCTTTCTGCTGAACAGCATTCACAGGGCTAAGCCATGCCCACATTTTCCTCTGTCAAGATAACTAATTAGACTGTGTCTGCAAAGTATGTAGAAGTTCATTTCTTACAGGGGTGCAAAATCGCTGGTGACTTCAAACACAAGGACAGGCAAAGCTGTCAGTAGGGGAGAGGGGCCACCTTAGATGGGATCTCCCTCTAAGTCCCATTCCTTTCAGAAAACAAGCTTTTAAAGGCATTGCTTTTGGACATCTCTTTAATTATAGAAATGGATTGCAAAGCTTTATCTTTGCCATCAAATAAATGCATGTGACTCCTGGTGATTCAATTAGCAAATATGTATGTGCATATCTGACTTAGGCCATACAAGTTTCTTGACCTTCTAGTTAATACTTACGTGCATGTATATATGTGCATATATATATGCGCATATGTATGTGTATAAAAATACCAGTACACATACATATGGCTTCTTTCCTTGAAACTCCTCAGTGTCATCCTGTTCCCCACACTTTTAGAAGCAGTCTCTGGTCTGAAAAATGCAGAAACCATTGAGCTGACATACAGAAACCATTGAGAGCTGTCTAGTCTTACTCTTAGTAGAAGTGCTAGGGCTTCTGCTGCTTTTGCTGTAGGCCAATAGCAGTCATTGCTCTTACAGGACTAATACTTACCCCTGTGAGAATGCAGAGCCTAGGATTTATTGCTCCTAATAAAATTTGCAGCAATTCCACTAAATCAAATTCAGTTACCTGTGAGAAATTGGTGATGGTCAGATCAGGTTTGGGGTTAGGTTTGAGTTACATGGGGCCTTAATGGAGGGTTTCCCCCACTCCATGAGGGGTGGCTAAAACCAGAATTGGGCTGTATGAATAATTTTCCAGGGAACAAGTAAGACTCAGCAGAGTTGCTTTTAATCTGTCTTTGTTTTAAAGAAGCCAGGTCTCTGCTGCTTAACCAGCAGTCAATCCACCACCTTTCCCCTTCATAGCTGGGATCAGGTTTGCAAAGTAGCTGCAGTAATTAGGTCACATTGTCCTTGTTCAGTCCCCCGAGATTCGGTTTGTTCTCCACTTTAGGTTAAAAGTTAATTCATTTTGGTGGCAGATTGATTGTCAGGCAAAATAATAGTAGGGCAATTCCCTGACTGATTTGTGATGAATTCCTTGTGTAGCTTTATTATTCCAATGAATGCAGAAGGAACAGAATTACTGTGTCGTGGAACGTGTGCAGTTTATCATGTAGTTCAACAGCCATAGTCGGTAACTCTGTGATGATTGGACTGAATTGAGTGTGACCATGTAGCTTATCTATGGCTTGTATTTAATATAATGTTTTGACTTACTCTTTATCTACTATTGTGACCACAATGAAACCCAAATATTTCAGTCTTGAATGTACCATGGCTGCTCTTATCATTCTCATAACCTCCTAAAACCTCATGTTCACTGTGTAGGTATAAAAAAGAGCTGCTAATAGAAACTACTACTCTGTATTTTGCAACAGTATCTGATGGCTTATGTAATGTGTCTCTCTCTTTAATAGGAGCAACCTCAGAAGAGTAAAACACCTGTAATAAACAATAACAATTCTCCAGGTTAGTACTTTATCTGGGACAGAGGGAAAAACATTGCACCTTAGGTATCATGGGAGAGTATAGGCTAGTCCCATATGGCGAACCAGGCCAGAGGCCTTCTTTCTTTGTGAAAGGGTTTGTTGTAGGGTGAAGTCCGGCTGTGATGAGAGTTTCTTCCCCTTCATCCCAGTATTGGTGGCAGTTGTTACGTTATGAATTAGTGAAATCGAGTTACCAGTTGTGCTCCAGCTGTTGCCATCAGCCCTGCTGGAGATGGGCCAGATAAATAAATAGTAAATAAGTTAAATCATCAATTTCAGTATCTCCATGGATCAGATCTTTTTCAGTTGGGTTTTGTGTCCTTGGAGGTTAGCAAAGATCATGACAGAACTGGCAGTCAGCTGCCACTTCTAAACCTGACAAAGCAGTGCTGCAGAAATAGATCTTATAGCTATTTTTTTAAGACAGTGTGTCTTAAACCCAACTAAAATACTTCCCTTGTACCTTCTGAAAAATACCCCTTTGTACCTGGCCACTGACTACCACCATTAGACTCATCATGTGGTTTAGAATTAAACCTCTTGTACTCCGAGTTTGGTTTATTGCTCTATACTTTTTCCTTTAATTGTTGCAGTTAGCAGCCATCTACTATCAAACCCCTTTGGATTCAGTGTTCAAATTACTAGTTGTGAATTTATCTCAAGATAGATACATATAGATATATAAATATGTATCTTTTGAGTTTATATGTATTTCTTATTAAGTGGAATTCCTGAGGCTCTGATGCTAAGAGCTGTGTTCCAAGTCTTCCAATAACTTGATCGGCGCTTACTGAGCAGCCACTTAGCTGTAATGTTTTGGGATCCCAGGCTCACAAGCGGAGATGAATGTTCCTGGGAAGCACAGCAGATAAAAGTCTTTGAACATTAGTTGCACAATGTTGTGGGCCTTTCTGATAAACAGGTATCCTGTGGCATAGTTCTTGTTATCCTCAAACTGGTGTTAAACCAGTGTTAATTGCATTATCACACACACACACACACACCCCTTGCCAGTCATTCCAAGCTTCCTGTGCTGTTTCCTTACTATTTTGTACCTTTTTCTTAGCCACAGACAATCTGTTTATTGCTGAAAGACCTTGATTCTCCAGTAGTTTGCTGTCACCTTGTGATTTGGTTTTCTGCTGCTTGGTTTCTGTCCCTGTAAAGTGATGCCTTGTTAATGACTGAAATAACCTCCTGAGGAGCAGGTCCATAAAGATGCGAAGTGTTTCTAAGTGGACAAAACTAAGATAAACAGGAGTCTGAGTATGTGCATGTAATAGAGCACAGCACATGTTTTACCTTCATTTCTCTGTATCCTCACTGTAGAATATAACCAGTTGTTTAAGTTGAACATCAACCGAAATCACCGAGGTTTCCGGCGAGCAATTCGGTCCAAAGGGATTAAATTTGAAGTATTTCATAAAGGGTAAGTCCCCAGTTTGCTCCCTCTCATTGTCTCTCTGAAACAGTTGAGAAGACTGAAGTAGCTGAAATTGATGAAGCCCCATCTTTAAGCCAGCAGTAAAGTGTTGGCTGGTTCTCATGTCTGAGCTCTGTTATGTTCCCCTATGGGGGTGAAGAAAAGGCAGAAGTTCAGAGGAGTTGATTCCTAACTGTCACATCAGTGGAGGGTTCATGTGCAAGAGGAATTGATGAGACAACATCATGGTTCAGTTCAGATTGTTTGGATTCTCACCCAGTTTGGTTTTTCATCAGAAGATTTATATGTTCAAGGGGGTAACTTTGTAGAATAGGAAGTACAAGTAACAGCAAAACATGAACAGCAGCAAAGCAGCTGTCAGATGATGGCAGAGCTAGTGCTATGGTTTTGTACTTCATTCTGAGGATACTACAGTATTTACTGAGCGCTGCTAGCAAACTGTCTTGAGAGAGACAGAAGACTCCACTCATCTCAGGGATCAAGATGGTGAGGTGGATGTTAACAGTTGGTAATGTTCATCCTATGTCTGTGCTTATTACTGATTTATTCAGAATCAGTGGCCTGTATTCCCTGATCCCTGAGCTGGTTGTGATCCATGACGTGGATGAGATGTTAGCTAACCTAGCTTTGTCTTGGTGATTCTTTGTTTCTCTTACTAGGACTTGCAGAAATGATCCATAGGTTCTCTGGGGTGGTTTTCAAGTTGTAGATGTTTTAATTTGTGTGCTAAAGTCCAGGTCTTCCATTTGCATCTCCATTGAAGCAAAAGCTGATTTTCTTACTCTTTCTCTGCCCGTCCTGCTTGCTCTACTGCTCTGTTGTTCATGGTGTCATCATTACAGATCCAGCCTCTTATGCGTAAAACTGTTCAGTACTTACATTGGTTTAAAACATTTTCCCCTATCTTTTGCACATCATTGTACATGTGGGGCACATCCTGTTCTCTCACCAGCTGGAACTGTGCTTGGTTTTAATGTCTTAGCTCAGGCTCAACTTCACCCGTTGGAAACGCTCTCCAGTGATTCATGAGTTATGTGCCAGCTCCAGATTGTCCTTTGAAGCCTTTTTGAAGATTAGCAAAAAACTCTCTGCAGGTCGTCCCTTTTCTAGGTCTGAGGTTTTGGTTTTGTTCTTAGGACAGGAATTTAACAAGATAAAGATGTGCTTGTTGCTGGTTTGGGGTGGAGGGGTGGCGGTTTCCCTGGGCCCATAGCAATAGGGAATGAGGAAGAGAAGAAAAGCCCACTGAGCACCTTCCCCTGGCTGTCCTCTCGGGAGAAAAGAGGATTAATGATGCAGGCTCTCTTCTAAAGGCTGCCCGCTCCCTGCCTGTCTGTAAGACTATACATGAATAATACTTTCAGAAGTGCTTGTAGATGTTGTAGGTTTGGGGTCTCTGGTAGCTCTTTGACCGTCTCCCAGGAATTGTTTTCTGTCGGTGAGCAGAGGAGACTTGTTTCAGGTCATAGATATTAAACTTGGCTTTAAAGAACACTTTAAACTAAAAATCCCAGCAGCGATTTCTCCAAAGGAAAAGCCTCTCCTTAAGCTTCTCTTAAAAGCTTCTGAAGATAAAAGGAGATTCCCCATAGCTGTTTCTGAAGCCATGGCCTGGAGCAAGTTCACATCCTTCACAGCCACCCCCCTAGAACTGATGGGGGCTGAACCAGTCTTTATTGTGTCTTGAATTATAAAGTGGAAAAATGCTTTAAGAAGCATTGAGCCAGAAGAATCGCTGATTCCCTGAGTTTATGAACAAGGTGCCAGCATACTGCAGCACAGTTATATAATCCCTCTTCATTTTAAGGTGCTTGTGAAGTCAAGGAAGTATTCTAGCATGTAAGAGAGTCAAGTCTGAACTTCTCTAAATGGCTTTGTCTCTAAATGATGTAGTCGTATCGATGGAGAATGAGGTCTTATCTTTGGAGGGCTTTCTGCCAAGAGAATTCTTAGGCATCATGTTTGGGGCAGCATTATCAGCCCTTGAGGTGACTCCTTGTGACATTGCTTTTTCTTTACTACAGCACTTTGTGTTGAGATGGACAAACTGACAGCTAGGGAGTAATCTGACAACTGAGCTGGAGTCTTTCATGTCCTTCAGCAGCAGGTTCTTGGAGGAGGTGTACTTCCTAACAGTGACTCGCTGCATGTGCCAGTGCATTCAGTTGCAGAGGTCTTGGGGTCTTTATGGCATCCAGAAGTGTCTGAGCTCCCTGCTGGGAGCTCGCTGCAGCCTGGGCTGATGGTACCTGATTTCTAAGGTGCTGTAGGGCCCTTCCTGATGCTGTTTCTGAACAAACAGGCCAGAAAGTGAGGGTAAAATCTGGATGGCAGGTGCCTTATACGGTGATTGATCTGAGCTATTTGGAGAATATATGGGTGGAGCAGTTGTTGAGGTGGTGGATGTGAGGAAACAACCTTCCCCCTTTCCCAGTCAAAGTTTAGACCATCCAGTTCACAGAGGTTCCCTTGGAAACTGACATCAGATCTGTGTAGTAATATACTGGCTGCTGTTGCCACAGATGACATGATCATGAGGCTCTGTATAATAATCCTCAAAGTTTTCATCGCATACATCAAGTCTTGCTTGATAATATATATAATAGGGATAAGAGTGGATTAATGGGGTTATTTTTTGTATATTTGTTGGGTTTCTTGCCTGTTTTTTCCCAGATAGTGGCATAAAAAAGGAAGCGTCTGAATTCTTGGCAGGCTTCCTGTCTAAAACATGACAGGCACAGGCATGGCTGGTTGGCTTTACTGCCTCCAGACTCTGGACATTTTAGTTGTTTATCAAGCCTTTTGGAGACTTATTCCCAAAGCAAGGAAAATGCTTGGATGCAGGCAGAGAAACCCAGTGGAATTAGTGTGTGTTAGTCTTAGCTGTTGCCTTTTGGGGGAGTTTGTGTGGGTAAGGATTGCACCACCTGCCCCTTAAGGTAAAGATGGATGTCTTGCTGATCAAAGTGTTGAGCAGAAGTGACTGTAGCAGAGAACAGTTGATTGTTTCCCTTGCAGGATGAAATGCTTTGTGCTTAATTCCAGCAGACTGGAAAGTCTGAAGCAATGGTTCCTGATGGTTCAAACTACCGGTGTGGAGGTGAATCAAACCAACAGCTGCAATGAGCTGTTCTTAGCTGTTGAAATGGGTTTATCAAAAGGAAACAGTGATCCGAGTGACTTTTTCCTGATAAGTAGTTTGCCAAAACCAGCACGTGCCTGTGAAGGCTTGTTTAGATGAAAGATGCAGCTTCTGTTGAACAGCCCCTTGCAGAAGGTTGCTGTCTGTCCTGGCTGTGAGGCCACTCTTCCCTGTTGCGCTGTGCAGGGACACAAGCTGCTGCCATTCCCAGTGCTCGTTTTTCTTCACCACTGTCCTCATCTGTAACTTGGTTGCAAGGGAGTAATTGGGCACTTTGTATCTTGTCCTTGTAGTCTGGTGCACTCAGGGTTTGCCTCTTGCACCCTGGCCTGTAGGGTTCTGTAACACTTCTTGGCTGGCCCTCCTGGATGCAGGGATGGCGCAAACAGTGCTGACCTGAGCCTGCTTTCTCTTTCATGTTCTGCAAAACCTTACCCACTGAATTAAAGATGATTTCTTTGAAACAGGTCCTTTTTTAGAAGTGACAAGCAAGTGGGAACGGCACACTTGAAACTGGAGAAGCTGGAGTCAGAATGTGAAGTCAGAGAGATCATTGAGGTACTTCTGGGTGGGGCGAGTTCTCCTGGTTTAGTACTTGAATACAAAGGGAAAATGAATACACATTGCATGAATGTGTTTGTGCACAGTTGAGTTTTGTTTAGTTAGGTTGATAAACAGTGGGCTGCTCTTTGTTTTGTCATCTCTTGAAGCTTGTGTTAGCTGTTACCATTCATAGAACCACAGACTGGTTTGGGTTGGAAGGGACCTTAAAGCTCATCCAGTTCCAGCCCCCTGCCATGGGCAGGGACACCTTCCACTAGAGCAGCTTGCCCCAAGCCCCGTCTTGGGGACTCTCTTCCTCAAGTTTCCTGTATCAGGAGAGTTTTCTTTGTCAGGACCAGAAATTGAGGTGATTCCCTCAAACATTTGTGTTGGTAGCTAAGAGATGAAGGGGTCAAGTGAAGACTGCCCGAGTGGATAGAGAGCTGCTGCAAGATCCCTAACTGGAACCTTAATAACCCCCTGCCTTGGGCTGCAACACAGACATGCCCAGGACACACTGCCCTCAGCATTGTGGTCACCTGCAGGTGATCTCTGTCATCCTCTAGTCATGGGGAAATGCCTGAGGCACCCTGGTTTGACGGTGTCACTTGTATGTGTGCTGACTGCTCTGCTCTTTGTGGTTCTTCCAGATTTTGGATGGCAGAAAGCCCACTGGAGGGAAACTGGAGGTGAAAGTGAGACTCAGGGAGCCCCTCAGCGGTCAAGATCTTCAAACAGTTACAGAAAACTGGCTGGTCCTTGAGCGTTAGTTCTGCCTGAGGTAGGAATGCTGCATCCAACGACGGGCTGACAGAACCTGACAGGGTACAGAGGAACTCTGCTTGACTAATGTCTGTGTTGACATTGACCTAATTACATTGCTCTGGCTTTGGGATCATTTCTCGTAGCTGTAGTGGTGAGTTGGCACGGTTTCAGAAATGAGGTTACCCAATCTCCTATCAGTTTGTGTATCAAAGATGTTATTTCACAATCACTTCTAACATCCCCCTTATTTAGAATGGCATTTAGAAAACAAGACTGGTGAGTCCCTTCTAGGAGGGACAATGCTTTCTGACCATCCCTATTGTTAGCAAAGAACCTTTCAGAGTCGGCAGGGACCCTTCTGCCCCTACCAGAAGTTAGAGGAAGGAATTTTTGTCCCATGGAAGTCTGCTTGACTTTATCTGACAGGGAGGCTGTTGAAGACCGGCTTTCTTCTGGATACTGGAGGCTTCTAGGGCTGGAGAAGCCGTGCAGTTGAATACAGGTTTCCCAGAGAGCTGTGGCTGATGCCCCACTGTGCTCAGATCAAGTACAGAAGAGCTGCCAAAGTAGCTGTGTACTAGCAGGATGGGAAAGAGGGAGCCTTCCTCCTCTTGCCAGTCTCTGCAGAAACTGCTTGGCTTGGCAGCTTATCTTCCTTTCTCAGACTCTGCTTTTTAGGTATCACAAATTCCCTCTTCTTTAAAACAAATCCAAAGCAAATTAGCACCAAACTCTGGTGTCTTTGTTTTTTAAGCCATTTCCTACATAAAGTTACTGAAGGATGAACACCAGCAGTGCCCCTGCCTGTGGAATCTCTAACTCAGCCCACTTCTGTGTCTGATGTCTGAAAGAAATTCAGAGTAGTTGGACACAATCACTTGACACCCTGAAACTTTCAGTCCTCACTTCTCCCACAGCCTGTGTTGGTAAACCACAGAGGGATGCTGACTTGCTGGTGACAGTCAGTTCTCCCTTAGTACACTGCAATCCCCTGCAGTCTAGTGTGCACCCCTCTTCTTCAGCATAGCTTTGCATTTATAAATGGCAATTAAATTAATGGTGATCAGCTTCACGGCCACAGCACCTCTCTGCCACACCTTTGTGTTAGGATTTACAGACCAGGAGGTCTTGTTTCAGTGCATGAATCCAAATTTGTAGCACCAAAGGGACTGTTTGCCTGGGGATTTCTGCCCTGCAGCCATGGGGGTCAGTGAGCTGCCTGTGAGCTTTGGGCTTCTCTGAAGGGACACATTTGATGGCCATATCTGCAAGACAAGTGACTGGACACTTAAGCATCTCCAATCACTAGAGTTTAACAATACTGCTTCATTGATTTTTGTAGTTGACCATCCAGAAAATGAATGTCGGCACTTCACATCTAATGTGCCCCTGAACTGTGAACATCTGGTAAGAGCTGCATCAAGTAATTCTGGTGTTTTCCCTTTGTTTTTCCCCAGCTCCACTGGCAAGTTAAAGATGTGGGATGAACGTCTGCAGAGAGATGCTGCTAGCTGCAAGCACCAAAGATGTTAAATGAATGCACTACTGAACCTAATGTCTATTTTGGTAACAGCCATAGTGCTTACTAATAACGTCGGGGCAGATGTAAGGCTCTGGGAGTTTGCTGCTGCAGGGGACTGTCACTAGTCTACACAAAATAGACAGAATTGCCTTAACGTGGGACTACTAATGTAGCACCAGGATGAATGTTACACTAACTATGCACAGTGGTGTGGGAAAAGTTTAGCCCCTTCAGAATTCCCTGAGGCAGTGCAAGAACTTTCTGGTCAAGTCACAGGTAAGACCTTTACCAGAACTCATGTTTTCCAGTGTTGCGGTACAGCCAGCAGTCTGCTACTGCTTCTTCTGTTTCCTTATCAAGACCTCTCTGATCTATCTCTTTTCATTTCTTAACTAGAGAGGGAACTCAGGCAGTGGATCCCTCTGTGTGTGCCACTACAGCACGAGCTCAGTGGGATGCTGCTGTTGAGGAGGAAGGAATGGCAGGCTCCAGAGCAGCAGGTGTTTATAGATGTACATTCTTGTTCTGGCTCCCAGCTGTCTGCCCTGCGTGGTCAGTGCAGCCCTGGTACTGTGCCTTCATCCTTTTTCTTTTTAAATGTAAAAAGGAGGGGAAGAGAAAATGAAGTAAGCTCTGACTGCTGCTTCCCAAACGTTCCTTGTATTTGTACAGAAATAGGCTTTTACAGTTCTTCCAGGTGCTGGGGAAAATAGCCACTGTTACGTAGGAAACGGGATTAAGACTATTTTCAGGAATGCTTCTGATCAGCAGCATACAACAAAATGGTACCAAATACGTTTGTGGTGTTAAACCTCCGTGAGCTCAGAGACAGGACTGATCTCAGAGGAGAGGACGTGCCTGCGCTGCGGGGTCGGAGCCTTTCCTGCACCAGCTCTTTAGGCAGGGCAGGGCACAGACAAGCAGGGTCCAGGCGGGTAAGAGTCAGGCAGCGCTGCCTCTGTCTTCCTGAGCAGATGAAGACAATACAGTGTTTAGTTTTTAATTTCAATAAATTTAATATACAAAACTACATGTTGAAAATAAAAATATAATATGCCGTTTTTTGCAGTGTTAACTAACTGAATTTTAAAAGTACAGTTCTTTTTTCTCTAAAACAAGTACTCATTTCTTAACAACATGGTAATTAAGGTCATTTCAAAGGCTATGGTTGAAGCAAACATGTCAGTCACCAGTTGATAGTGTTTTGCACAAACATAATCCAAACCTAAAAGACTTTTGGGGCAAAGGAAGAGAAGAGAAAAGATTTTTCACCTCTTTTACTGCATGATTCAGTGTAACAATGCAACTCGAGGAACTGGAAAGCTGCCGCTGTGGCAAAGCTGCAGAGCAGGCTCTGGAAGGAAGATGGGCAATTTTAGTTTATGGAGTGCTCTTCCAGGAACCAGATCTTGCCTACACTGTGAAGTGTGTCCCACACCAGTGTGCAATCAGGAAGTAACCTCAGTTCTGCTCCGCTACACAAATCCATGGGGAGAACAGGGATTGCGTGAGAGTCTTGGTTTTGTCCAGCATGACCCATGGAGTGAGCTGCACCAAGCCAGCCACCTCCTCCCCAGCACAGAGGTAAGGTCTTGCTCTGATGCCACACTTAACCCAATAGTGTATTAGCAGTAGTAGTGTGCTACCTCTTACTGCCCAGCTTTTGTTTTTGGTGCTGGACCCCAGTTCTCAGGCCACCTTCTCTCCCAGTGCTGGCTGGGGACAGCCATCATTTGCCACCTTGGGTTTGTCAGACTTTGTTTCAAAAGCAGTAGCTATTTATTCACAAGTACCTTCTGTACATACACTGTGCTCTATGCATAACACATTGCTATGTGTGGTTACCTTTTCCTTTTCCCAGCTAATACTGTGTATTTGTTAAAGATCAGCCTCACACTTCCCTTTGGGTGTGAACGGGCACCTGTGTTACCCATTTACAGCAAACCCAAAGTAACCCCTGCTGCATCCACCAGAACTGACTGTGAGTAAGGACAGTGCAAGGGTCACCAGAAGTGAGCACCTCTCTTCCCAGGTTAACGTTCTGGACAGACAGGAGAAGACACCTTCATCCCTTCCGTGGGGACCCAAACCAGCAGCTCCACATGGCTATGGCTAAACAAACCAACCCCCTAATCCTGCATTCAGCTCTTGCCACAGGTGAGCAGCTTCCCACCGAGAAGGTGGAAACACAGTTCCTGTCTCTGACTGAGTCTCAGTTGCAGCTTCTTTCCCTGCTAAAGCCCTCTTGAATGAGCTGGGCCAGGTGCAAGTGTTGGGAGCTGCCCACAAAGCCTTTTTTTCAGCAGAACATGCAGGAAAGAGCAACTCCAGACTTTTAGCATGGGGAAGCTTTTTCGTGGGGCTGCTAAGATGAAGTGCAAGCTGCCTTGTATTACATGACACAAGCGTTACACTACAGCGTACAGCGAGGAGGAGACTCAAAGCTGCCCTGGGTGTTACTTCTCTTTAAAAGCAGGACCTACTGGGGAAGAGCAATGAGACGGAACCACGCTTTAGGGCTGATATTCCCTCTGCTTTGTAACAGATTTGTAAACAAAGTACAGAATTGCAGAGTTGTTCTAGGAGCCGTCATAGGAATTGGCAGAGGTGACAGGGGTTTACAGTAAATAGAGGGGAAAAAAGGAAACTAGCCTATCACGCACACAAAACTGCAGTTTACGTAATCCCACCTGCCCTTCTGCTCCTTTGGAGGCATAGACCAATGCAGTTATGGCTGGGTAACCTGCCCCCGTCTCCAGGGCCACTCCAAATGTCTTTCAACCAATAATCTGGTCAAAATAATGTAAACATGACTTCTGAACGTCTACAGCACAGCCACCAGCGCCATGAGGACGAGGTCAGAATGGTGGTCGGGGGGGGTGGTTCTCACATGTCCATCTACAACCAGGACAAGAGTGGAGTTTCACTTTTTATTTATGCCCCAGTGATCTTCGCACCCGTTTGAGCATTTAGAGTACATGACTGTAAGTCTTTAAACATGAGCATTTCTCTAAACAGTAACAGAAGTGTATTAGCTGCAAGGATAGCATAGCCATGTTGTAGTATAGAAGCTGCCCTGATCCTCTGGTTGTTGACAATGCATAGACGATTTAGAGTTATGGAACAACTGTCCCTCCCTCCTCCCCCCACCCATTCCCCAATAGTGTTAACAAAAAGCTTAATTTTCCAGTTTTAAAGTGCAAATGATTCAGATACAACTGCTGCTGGAACAGGTCTGAACAGAAAATGAAGTCCTCTTTATGAGATGTTTTCCAGAATATAAAAGATGAGCTCCATTATGACTGGCCCCTCACTCAACTGACATGCCCCTCCATGAATCACTGGAACTAAGGCACTGTCCAGGTCCTTCATGTATTGAGAGGGCAGTGGCTGTCCATTGCTCCCAGCTTGATAACCAACCTAAAAAATACAAAGTGAAAGGTGGGGGGGTTTACAGAGGACAGGACACAGGCTGCAGTTTGGTGGGCAGGAGGATGAGCTGGGGGAGGTGCTGTGGCCTCTGCCCAGGAAGTTGGATTTAGCAGGCACTAAGGCAGCTTTTCCCCTTGTTTTTGTTCTCCTTTAGGTTCCTAATGGCCACCTACACAGAAGTACCCCACTGCTCTGCCAAAGCAGATCATTCAGACCTGCAGGAACCGCCCCTGTGTTATCAGATTAGCTCAGGCACTGTTTAAAAGCTGGCTGACACCAGGAACACCTCCACTCCAGGGCAAGGCCAGTTCCCTTCCCAGGGAGCTCTGCTCCCTTATCTCTGCCTTTGGCTTCTGCTGCAGAACACTCCCTAAGGGACCTTTCAGCTGCTCCTCTGTCTCACAGGCAGTGTGATCTTCTAAGACCACCCATGCTGGGGAATGCTTTGTGCTCACCCAATAATACATTTCCTACACTCCTATCTTTTCATTTCTGGTGCAAAGGCCAATTCAGAGTCTTCTCCAAGCATGTGGCAGGCCTGCAGCTCACAGGGCTGGTCCTGGATCTCTGGCTGCAGAGCAGGTGCTGCCAGCTGGCACACAGGGATCAAGCCTGGTGTTAATTCAGGATAGGCACTAGCTTCCCTTTTTAACAGATGGCCCAGAACACCAAACTCCAGTCAGCACCACAACACTGGCATCTGATAGTGGTACTTTTTCAACCCAGGGACTGGTTGAAGTGTGTATTCCCTTTCTGAGGGATGAACAAGGGAACAGTCAAAACTATTCAGGACTTACTTGATCCGAGTCGAGTGTAACGCGCAGACCCAGCTTAGTCATTCCATCTTCCTTCAGCAGCTTAAGGTGGGGACAGAGAGCTAAACAGAAAGCCTTTGCCACGTTTTCAGTCAGCCTGCTGTGATCAGCTGGGTCGCTCAGACCATTATGTTGCTCATCATTTTCCAGGAAGAACACCTGCAGGAAAGAGGTGAGACAAGACACAACCCTTGGCTCTTCTAGCAAATAAGGTTACTGAGACACCAGTTAATCTTTCTACAAGTGAGGGCTTAAAGAAGAGCTGTTCAGGGATGACCAGCAAATGACCCTGAAGACAAGACACTTACTTAGGGGGAAAAAAGCAAACTTCAAAAGGAAAGATTTGAACAGCTGTGTTCTCAAAACCCTGTTCTGAGCAAAAGCCTCACAATAGAAATGCACTATTTATTGCACATAGTTTTTAATCAATACCAGCTTTTAAACAGATGTTCATTTCACAGTTTTACTAGATCCGTACTGCTGTTGTCAGTGAACTTGGCTCTGTTGAGCCCCATGGACCTGGGAAAGCAGCATACAAAGGGGCAAGCTGCCAAGGGGGTAACGTGGTTCCTCCTGGGCAGGTTAAGAGAAACACTTGAAGAAATCTTCTAACATCAGCATTTGTGTGCTGGCAGAGTCACAGGTCCATCAGCAAGGCAAGCAGTTTCTGCAAGTGATTGATGCCACAGCACCTCCAGTTTAACCTGCACCAGGCTAGAGAGGGTGGCTCAAAAGAACCACTTTATAAAAACAGTTATTTCATCTCCATTTAAAAGGTTGGATTTAATACAAGTGCAGGTGAAACCCAACTGGCACCTGGGGTAAGACAGTATTTTTCTGGTCCCACTCCCCCTGTTCTCAAACCGCATGCAAGGAGGTGGCCAGGCCTGTGCATGTACCAGCCATAGGGTATTTTATCCTGCACGATACCACACTGAATGTTTCCTTGCAGGCAGGAAAGTTACTACAGGTCTGGTTTGTTCTGAAGAATTTACTGCTTTCATTCTGGTGAGTGGGGAGAGCAGGTCGAAAGCAGCAGAAGGCTGGAGTTGCAATCCCAAAAGGCCCAAGTGTTGCTTTACATGCAGCTTGTTTTGACTCACCTCCGTCCACCGAATGACCTTTCCATTTGCCTTGTACTCTGAGCCGTGAAATATCTTCACACTTGTTATAGACTCCATTGATTTGCCATCAATAGGGCTCACAACACTGGAAGGGAGGGAAAAGGGCAAGTTCAGACTCAGCAGAAGACATGAGCTGAACAGATACCACTGCAAAAGAGAACTGCATCAGAATCAAAGGGCAGCTCTGCTGCTGCACCTGAATCCTCAACTGCCTCACTGCAGGGTTTCTCGTAACTGTTCTGCAATTGGAACTGCTACAACACAGCAGCCTAGCCCATCAGCTTAATGGGGCACAGACCAAAATTACCCTCAGAAGGGAACCCAAAGGCTTAAGAGTGCCAAAACCAGTGATCTTAATTGCAACTGCTAATTGTGAGGATGGTGCTGGGCCTGGAGCTTCAGCAGGAGCAGCCTTGTAGGAATGGGCTCAGAGCTGAGGCAGCATCGCCCCTGCAGCCCACCCTGGTCAATGTGCACACACCAGGTGCAGGAGGGATCTTCCTGCAGGTTTTCAGCAAAGCTTTGTACCAGAGCCGAGATCTCAGAGGTGCTAACACAGCAATAAGGCATGGGGTTCATGCATTTGTAACACTGTAGGCCAGCAATACCTGAAACACTACTTACACAGCTCAGAATTCGATCACAGAGCCTAAGACTGACCTGAAGAGCCCAAAACTACTCTTCCT